AGATGTTTTTGGAAAGGTGTTGATAAAACCAAAAGAGCATTAAAGTACTAACTTGGAGTGATTTTGAGATTACAGTAGGGTAAATATTTATTCTCGATTACAGTGTGGGTTCACTGTTTCTTCGGAAAAGCTTTATCATTTCTACAAGAATTTACCAAACCCCTCCCCATTAGACTTGCTTGCTGAGTAGTTGAAACAATGTTTTCTGTTACGGTCATATTGGACATTCATTCCCTGCAGTGCCCTGTGCCTCTTGTACATGCCACCTTCCCACCCTGATCTCCTTTGCTCTTTCCACCTCACTCCTCAGCATTATTCAGATGTCAATCCCCCAGCTTAAACCACAGTGACACCTTCTCTACTTCCCAACCCACTCATGTCATTTTCTCAGCACCTTCTTTGTTTTATCCTCACAAGTACATAACTACAAATGGTTAAGTTATTGCTCGTTATTTTAAAAATTAGGATATTTGGGGGCTGGAGAGATGGCTTAGAAATTGAGAGCACTGGCTGCTCTTGCAGAGGGCCCAGGTTCGATTCCCAGTACCCACATGGCACCTATCAACTGTCCATAACTCCAGTTCCAGGGGATCTGACACCCTCTCTGACTTCCACAGGCATTGCATGATATGGATGTACTTACATACTTGCAGCAATACACTCAAACAAATTAAATAAATAAATGATAGATAGATAGATGATAGATAGATTGATTGATAGATGATAGATAGATAGATAGATAGATGATAGATAGATAGATAGATAGATAGATAGATAGATAGATAAGTTATGCTTAGGATTGGTTCTAGGGTGATGTTTAGGATTAGGTTTAGAGTTAGGGTCATGTATATGGTTAGGTTTATGTTAGGACTAGAGTTAGGATTAGTTTTATAGTTAGGGCTAGGGTTAGGGATGATCTTTGGTTGATTTTAGGATTAGGCCAAGGTTAGTTTTTGCCATTATGTTGATGCTTTATTCAGTATTATATATTCATCATCTGGCTGAGTTAGTTTTAAAAATATTCATTAAATAATGATACATGTTCAAGCTTTACAGCACTGTCTGTGGGTTTTTTTAAACAGTGGAAAACTGAAGCTAAATGAAACAACATAATAAAGATAAAAATTACTATTTGACATCCCCTCAAAGTGGGAACTGTACATATGATTCTAAAGCATAGAGTTTAAAAACTAATGTAATTGGTATAAACAGCATAGTTCTACAAATACAATTTCAAATGAATCAATTAGTTAAAATATAAGTATTGATTTGGAAGCCTCACATAAAAGAGCCAAGTCTTATACAGAACAATATTTAGAAATCATACCATGAGTTTTTTTTAAAAAGGACACTTTGTAAGTTGCCAAATTAAGACTCTGATATCATGTATTATTTTGTATATAAAATTGAATTTTAAAATGAAGAGTTCAAGTATGTCTGGAAGTATAATTTTATATTGACAAATGTGTACATGTTAAATGCATGTGTATGTTTGTGTATGTGTGTGCATGAGTGTCAGTGTATGTGCATGGTCATGAGTGTGCATGTGGGCGAAACCCTAAGATAGAACATCATGTTCTTCACATAGATCCTTCCTTTGGCTCATTCTTTTTTGCTTTGGTCAGACTCCATGTTAAATCTCTTGAATGTACTTTGATTGTATTCTTCCACAGTGTCCACCTCATCTCTAACTGGTCTATGACAGCTTCATTTCAAATTGCTGATTATGAACAGTATGAAACTCAATTTACCAGCGCTGTGATCACAGATAGACTCTGCTTCTCCAAGTCTAACAGACCTGCATCCACTATTATGCCCATTGCTGGACATCAAATATCTGCCAATAGCAAGAATATATTATTTCATGAGTTAAAGTAAAAAAGAAGTAGAATTGCCCACAAAGAGGCACCACTTCTAGGTTCCATGTTCAAACGTCAAGACCCAGCAAAAGTTTTCCTTTGGATCTTCCTGGGGAGCAGGTGTCAGTGCTCCTAGGAGATCAAATGAATCACAATGAACAATATTGTTTCATGTTTATTATCACCACAAACCATTTACCTGTTAGAGTCCACAGGCTACTGTTTTGCTTCTGGCAAGTGTGTGAGAAGTTTCGGAGTCAGGAGACTGAGTGAGCAACTGAATTGACAAGTGGGATTAAAATCCCATTGGGGAGGCTATAGGATTCCCTGAGATGCAGTCAGAAGAGTTGCAGATTTTCCAGATGTTGAATAATTCAACTAGCAGCCAATGAAAAAGACCTTCCAGGATTTCCTCATTGGCTTATGTCAGGCTGTTCATTTCTTTGCCAGGCTATCATACTGCTCTGAGATCTTCTTCCTCGTGGCACTTTAATTGCTGCAGTATTCTCAAAGAGACTTGCTTTAGCTTTCTGTCTGCCAGAATTAGAACAAATGAATGACAGCAGGGATACAGGGATGCGGTTGTCAAGCCAGAAAGGAATAGCAGTTTGCTTGCTGGCATAAAAGCATAAAATGTGTCTAAGCTAATACCTGTGAAGTACAAGACAAGAAGGATGAGAAAAGAAATTAAAACTTTTATGGCCTTCACATGAGCTTCTGAGTTGAGGTCTCTCAATCCTGAGAAAGCAGATTCCATCCGCCTTTTGTGTCTCCAAAGAGAGATAATTAACAGGAAACATGTAATCAGGGCCACAGTGAAGAATAAAATGGCTCCTATATTGACAGAAGCGTGGTTAATAAAGAAAACACTTTTCCACAATTGGACCTGCCAGGATGTGTTTCTATACTGTGCTTTAGCATTATTAATTATCTTTGCAATTTGTGAAACAGCAATTAACCATGATGCAAACAAGCATCCAATCAGAAGGATAAAAATCACATCAATTTTTCTCTTTAACCAGAGAAATATGTAGTTAGAAAAATTAGCTATCTTGAAGAAGTAGAAGATGCTGAGGCTGGTTGCAAACCAGATGTTCATGTGATTCACAATTACCCATATGTAATTCATGAATTCAACTAGGTTGCCATAGTCCAGCGGTTGTGAAGACAATGTCTTTACATACGCTTTGCAAATTAGTATCCATATGAGAAAAATTCTTGAAATCACCAAGCCAGTGAGAATAAAGTTAATCTTAGAGAATTTCTTACTCCTGATCCAGTCAATGCAGTTCACAAGACCAATAAACCCATTCCCTAAAACTCCCAGCACTGACTCGGTAGTGACAACACACAGGAGGATGCTTTCTGCTGCACTCAGCATGTCTCCTGAGTCCCAAGATTATTGTAGATTACCTGCAAGAGAATGTTGCATATATTCAATGCTTGGTGGTGAAGAAATTTTCTCTTCTTCATTTAATTGAAGCCATAGAATGCCCTATGATTACATGAGAAATATCTCTAGTTTTCTCTTGCCGCTTCTCTATGATTTTAGCTAGTCCACACAATGTAAACAGATTACACGCCTTCTTGAAATTTGTTAATAAACAAATGAAAGTTTCGGTTTCATGGATTTTACTTGATCCTCTGAGACTATTTTGCATTTAATTGAATTATGGAGTAGGGGTTTCAGACATATACTTGCAAGATACCAAATACATCAGAAACCAATTTTATATGTCAGCCTTTTATTAAATATATTTTTATTTGTATTAATTTATACTTGTGTGTGTCCGTGTATATGCACATATGTATGTGAGTGCCCATAGAGGCCAGAAGAGGGAGTCAGATCCCTTGGAGCTGGACTTACACTCAGTTGTTAGCCACTGCACTTGGGTACTGGGAACTGAACTCTAGTCCTCTGGAAGGAGCAGTAAGCATTTTTATATCCTGAGCCACCAGCCCTTGTATATCATATTTAAAATACCCACATACAGTATCAGGTCCTTGAGAGTCTGAGACTGTTATCATTTGAGCCCAGGACCAACCTGGTAACATAATCAGAAGCTTCTTTAGAAATAAGCAAAAAAGAAAACGCCAATTCTGAAACTCCAATACCCCAAAGAATAACAGAAAATGTAAAAAAAAAAAAATTATACTGGTTAAAACCATAGTTTAATATTTATCTTTTAAATATTTTATTTATTATTTTTATTTTATGTGTATGAGTGTATTCAAACAAACAAACAAAAAAAACAAAAAAAAAATTTATACTGGTTAAAACCATAGTTTAATATTCATCTTTTAAATATTTTATTTATTATTTTTATTTTATGTGTATGAGTGTATTGCCTGCATGTATGTGAGTGCACTCGTGTCGTGCAGTGCGGTGGAGGTCAAAACAGGGCTTCAAATTCCCCCTGGAACTGGAATTAAGGACCATTTGTAACTGCCATGTGGGTGCTGGGAATCGAACCTGAGTCCTCTGCAAGAGCAGTCAGTGCTCTTAACTTCTGAGCCATCTCCCCAGCCCCCATAGTTTAATATTTAAAGAAAATATACAAGTAATAAAAATATATAGACATTTACACCACAAAATGATTGCTTTTAATAAAAATGTGAACTCAACTAATATGGAACTGGTAATTTTCACAAATACCTCACAGAGTAGCTGCTGTATTTTATAGACCAGTGGCCAGTCCCTTTGTGAATGGAGACCTTGCTGCTCACTCTTAACATGAAAAGCTGTTAAGAATGCGTCTTTTAGCATATTTCACTTGGAAACCTTCTATCCTCCAATAACTACTTTGTGAGTGTTAAAAATAACAAGGTCTCTTCTGGCCACTGAAAGAATATTAGTAGATAGAATATTTCATCCTTTGTGATTCATAGAATTTATATTTAACAGGGAAGAAGGAAAGCCTCAGTTAATTTAGCAGATTGTTCTAAAAGTCAACAACAAAGTCTAACATTTCATGAGCATTTATTTTTGAACCCAGTACTATGTGGAATACTTCAAGCTTATTTCCTCATTTCAATTTCTAATACACTTTTAAGACTTTAAGAAGGATGATATTTATATCATCATTTTAGTCTGTTTCTATGTTTTTAACACAGGATCGCTCTATGTAGCTTAAGCTTTCTGAGTTTATGATCCTATTGCTTTAAATTTATGAAAGCTAGGGTTATAGCCATGCACCACCACACCCAGCCACACTTCCAGTTTTAAAATGAATAAATGGATCAAGAGAAGGGAAGCGTTTATCTATGTTGCAATCATGGAGCAAGCTCAGGATGAAATATAGTCACACAGAAAAGTATTGTAAATGACACTCAGCAAAAGAAAACCAACGTTCAATTAGAAAACAATTTGTGAGGAAGAACCATTTACTCTGACTCATGGTTCTAGAGGTTGCAGTCCATTGTTTCTTGGCCTGTGGTGATGCAGGGTCAAGTAGAAAGGAAATGGTGAAGTCGCTCTTTTTAGAGGAGTCAGATGTGGAAGCAGGAGTGGAGGAGCAGATTAAAGTCCCCAAGGGCATACGTCTAACCTTCTACTACCTTCAAGCAGGCCCCTCCTATATTTCCATCATCTTTCAATCGTCCATCAAAGAATAAATCCATCAACACATTAATCCACTGATGAAGTCAGATCTCTGATAATTATTACCTAAATCCTCATCTCTGAATATTGCTGAATTTGTGACTTTCAATCTAGGAGTTTTGGCAGACATTTCAGATACATAGTGTAATGCTAGCTCTAGAAATGATACAGAGTTGTTGGATATTGCCTAATCTTCTCTTAAATAAATTATAAATGAATTCTGTAATATAAAAGCAACATGTTTGATACTATAATAGACATATACTCACACATACACACACACAACCACACACACACACACACGTACACACACACACACACACACACACACACACACTTTAAAAAAAAAGACTTGCTCTGTGGCTAAAGGACAAACAAAAACCTATCCAGCAGCTGTACCTACATTAAAGGGATTCTAATTTTAGCCAAGTTGGTAAAGACAAAGGCAAAGAGAATTTTGTTTGCAATGTCATCATTCAGCTGACCAGCCCAATTCATCTATTCACCAAAATTGTTTTATAATTTTTCTTATTGCTGAGCTGGGAATATAGCTCACATGGTAGAGAGCTGCCTAGCATGTGTGAAGCCCTGATATGATCCATAATTCTGCATAAACAACTGTGATTCTGCATGTCTGTCTGAGCACTTGGAAGCAGTTGGAGGCAGGATGATCAGGAGTTCGAAGTCAGCTTCAGCTGCATAGTAAGTTCAAGGCTACTCTCTATATAAGACCCTGTTTCAATTTCTTTTAGTGGAAAAAAAAATCCATTCCTAAAAATGTGGAAATGTTTTCATTTTTCGCTTTTGTTTCTGTTATAAACATTGTTTTTTAATCATAAGGCATCAAAGACTGCTGGGAAGCAGATATTTTATCATTCATATCCATGAAATGAATGTATCAATGCAAATATCTTTGTAAAATGTAAAACTATTTAATGTCCAGATATTGTGACTTTTACATCACAGTTACAGTTAGAGACTATAAGATTCTACTGAAGATGGCTTAGACATTAAACTCAGTTTTGTCATTGACAAATAGAACTGACTTCAGTCCTCACTTTCTAATTTACCCATATTATGCAATATTTTGATTTGTGTGTGTTTTAATTGAGGGTTGGGAAATCTTATACATTTGTTCAGAAAATATTCCAAACCTCACCCCAGGTTTGAACTCTGATTAACCCAATGAAACCAAAAGTTTCATGATGTGCTGTTGGCCGTGTGGCAGGACATACCGCCTGATGTGTGTCAGGCAGGCTGTGTCATGTGTTAGCACATGCTGCCTGATGTGTGTCAGAACATGCTGCTGGCCATGTGGCAGGCATGCCGCTGGCTGATCTTCAGTACATGCCATGCATCAGGACATGCTGCTGGTCATTTGTCAATACATGCTGCCTGATGTGTGCCAGGACACGCTGTGGCTGTGGCTCCTTGATCCACAGGTGGCATCAGATCCACCAAGATTTTAACAGACTGAAAGGAAGGATTTGTTGTCAACACTTTAGCAAAAGACTTCTCTCTCCAGATAAACGTGAAAAACAGAATAGACCTGGTTGCCACTCCAATGGTCTTTACTTTCTCTAGGGAAGAGTTCTAGGATGGGGACCCTGAGGTCAGCAAAGTGATGATGTAAATGACCAGGGCTGTCAATCATGGTATTGAGATCCTTCGGCTACCGTAGCTGGAAATCACTCTCTCTCTCTCTCTTAGATGACTAGGAATGTGAGATAATTACTTTCCTCACACTTTATATTAGTTTTTATAATGTTTTTATCTGACTTACATTCAAAAGCTTCCCAAGTATTATATTCACATCCCCTGCAATTTTGCAGTTAAGCAGTTAAGCAGTTTCCTAGGGATAAGGTTATGGTACATATAACAAACTACTGTTTCAATGAGCTATTATATTTACTTCTAGAAACTTCATTCAGTATATAAGTTTAACATAAATTAGAAAATGTTTCCGTTTTATTCAGTTAGCACTTGTGAGCAAACTTTAACTTCATGTTAGTGTTCCAATGTAGGAAAATAAGGAAGGTATTTAAGTTCCCCTGCTTTAATAGCAATCTGTATCTTATGTTCCTTAATTTGAATATTTTATTTATTATTGGCCAGAGGGGCATTGCATTTTAATGTCTTTACCACCATATTTAGATTTTCTTTACTATTTTTTACAATGAAAATTCACTTCTGGTCTGGTGTTACAACGCAAATTAAGATGTAAATGTCACCTACCAGCACACAGAGAATTTCCATTTTACAAAGAACCAAAATGCTATGAAAAGTAGGTAAAGCTTTCATAGTAACTGAATCTCAAGCATCAGGAAACTATTGGAAAGTAAAGGATTTAGGCATTTTAAAAACAATAAGAGTCATGGTCTATTCAAAACCAGAAATCACCAAGAGAATATTTTTGTAAAACATCCATTGTCAACATTTTCCTGTATAACATCTAAGTTTTACATGTATGTTGTGAGAAACACATAGAATATGTTGCTTTATAATATTTTTCTCACTTAAACCTATATAATTATCATTTCCCATGTGAATAGAATTCATCATATTACGATTATTCATGAGTGAATCAAATTATTAACTTTTGCTTCTTTAATAATTTTTAAAAATATTTTTTAAAATTTTTGTGTATGAGTGTACTGCCTACATATGTGTAAGTGCACCTGTTTTGGGCAATGCCCACCAAGGTCCGAAGAGGGTCTCAGATTCTCCTGGAACTGGAGTTACGGGCAATTATTAGCCTCTATGTGGATGCTGGAACCAAA